AATATTTTTTAAAAGGCCGCTAAATCGGAAAACTCTAGTTGAATATATGCTTTTTAGATTCAATTTTAGCGAAACAAATAAAACAAAAGGGGTGTTTGGTATCATTTTTTTAAAAAGCCGCTAAATCGGAAAACTCTAGTTGATTATAGCTTTTAAAGTGCCTATGACACCTAAGTTTTGACGTCACATCATTAACATATTGGGAGAATAAACCTTAATATCTCCAAGATGCATCACTCAAACCATATAAAAATATTTTACTATTCCTCTTTTTACATCATTTACAATTAATGCTGAACATTTAGAGTTAGGTGTCTGAGGCACTTTAAGATCCGAGATAATACTCTTCTTGTCTTTTAATTGAACTTTAGCTTTAACAAAACCATCAATTAAAACGTTTTWAAAAAATTTGGTGAAAAATATCCAAAAAAAAAAAATTATTGCAGAATGTGCTTTGTTGTGTTGTTATGAAAGAAACTGGGTATTTTTTATACGAGCCAACAAGGGAGCAAAACCGCTCATTACTCACTGAGCGAAGACGACTAAAAACAGCGTGTATAAAGGTAGCAGTAGGAAGAATAGCGAGAATTTACTAACATTTGAGTCATTTTTTGAATTCTCTCTCAATCACTTTTCCTAAATTTTACGGAATGCTGTCTAACGACATGACCAACTTTTCCTCCATCGCCCTCTTGAACGAGTCCAGGTGTAATTCATCATCTGGTTCGTGTAGTCCTGTACAGACTTGTCCAGGAACAGCCGTTCATCTGGCTTACATCTCGGTCATCTGTGTGCTAGGGGTCATTGGTAATATTCTATTACTCTATGCTGACTACAAGGAGTGGAAGAAGAGTAAGACACCTGATAAACTGTTGATTCTCAATTTAGCTATGACTAACGTCGCTGCTTTATTGGTTAGTTTACCATTACATGCTGTTCTCGTAGCAAACTATCAGGATTACCTGAAGTGCTCTGGCTTTCTATATCAGTATCGTTCAGCTCGGTTCTTTYTGATCTGTCTGTTTAATTTTGTAAGCCTAGGCACGCTGCTTGTGATAGGAATCGACAGGTACCAAGCTTTAACAAAGTTTGCTCACCAACGAACTCTAGATTTGAAGAGGTCTATTTTTGCCATTTGTTTGGTTTGGTTGTGCTCCATTACAGTMGTAGTTGTATTCATAGTTACTTGGCCAAACCAATGTACAAACGTTTATTCATCTCGTTTAGAAGACAGAAACATTGACAACTATTATCCGATGAGAATAACCATCATATCGATATGGATAACTGTCTGTTGTACAGTAACCGKTASATCTTTATTAATGGCTGCGAGTCACATTCGCAAGCACCGACAAGAGATCAATGCCATGTTTGGTGCAGTACAAGCAGCAGYACARATCAGTTTTACCAAGGGTGTCATCGCTTTATCGCTATGTTACGTCGTACTCTGGATACCTTATGGGRTATCATCAGCCATTTTGTCTTCTGATCAGCACAATGTAAAATTCGAGTGTTCTAGATTATGGACAAATTCTACTTGTTATTTAAGTTTCAGTCTCCTTCCAGCAATCTATTTTATTGTAGACAACAGACTAAGACGATCCATTCTACCGGAGGTGGTTGTTGCACCCGATGCTGCGAACACCCCGAGTAACATTGCACAACCCAAGGAAAATTGAATCTTGATCAGGCATAAAAAGTTCAACAAATTCTTGAAAATTGAAAGTTCAACCGTCATTATAATATTCACGTATAAAAAAGTAACCCTGCTCTCTATATCATTTAWGATCTCCAATGGGACATTATATAAGCCTTATGGCAGCTTGCCATAACATATTTATATTTTGCAGTTGATTTTTTAAAAATCTCATTTAAAAAAAGCCAATTTGCATAAATTGCTAAATAGGGTTTGGGTTTTCTCCATGGTCTCGGGTTTTTCTCTCTCCGTAAAAAATCACCGTATGTTTTACAACAATTGTGAATTTTCGTGCTTTCTGATTGGTCTAGAGCCGTGGGAAATAGGAGGACATACCGATAAATTACATCAGCAAATGACGCGCGCGCTTGAAACCCCGTTTTTCTTTCAAATTTTACCCTTGTTTTTGTAGTAACATTTTAAATTTTTTTGTGGTAAAATGCTTTCCAATTTTACCGTGGTATGTCCTCTTATTTACCACGTTTTTCGTCATCTAGCCGTCAAAATGTTGTGGACTCACGAGGCCTAAATAAGAGGGCAGACATATCACCGAATACTTGAGGAAATTAGTTAATTGTGCGCTCGGAACACTGAATGTTATGTAGCTTAAGAGTGTGAGCGAAAAAGTGTCCTTGTATAGTGCGAAATCGTTAGAACGACTCGTTTATTTATTAAATATTTATTTTATTTTTTACTGATTTATCATTGAAGTGCGACCCGAGAAGTTTGATTTCTCGTTTACCGACTAGCATTTCAACGACCGTCAATCAAAGAACTACATCTTAAAAAAGAAATATCTTGAAGATTTTTATCCGACATAAAGATCTTAAACCTCTAATCTTTCAAAAATTCTAATTCAGTCTTAAATCTCGCGCGCTGATTGGTCGAGAAACTCACACTATCACACGATAATCATCTCAAGCGATAATCCAAAATGGCGGCCAGCCGCTTTGTTGCTGTTACCGG